AAAACGTTAATAATTGACATTATGGCATTCTCAACGGTCAGGCATGAGAAAGCTTAATGGCGTATGTATCCTTTTAGCTAAATTATGCTTGTCAAAGAGGGACCAGAAGGATGAAATAACCCATACAGCTTTCTATGGAACCTTTCCACTCAAATTCCATCTATCACGCTTGCTGTTCAATTGTGGAATAATTTAACCTTTATCTGAGGAAGATAGAAATTGGCAGCACCAATTAGAAAACTTGGTTGCAGAATAAGTACAATTAGAGTGATAGATTGTAGAGGCTAAGAATTAATCTACAGAATTTGGAAAGCACAGGAAAGCTTGAGAAATTTATTTGGATGTATAAGTGGAGTCTCTAGCCTGCTCTAATATAAAAACCCATTTCTTTTATCTTAACAAATAACCCCTCTATAGGAGTCAGACTTTAACTCCCTAGTTCCCAGCCCCATTTCTACTAAAGATCCATATGTATCTGGGCCCGAAGGGCTGCAGTTTGGCAAGCAACATGCATTTGTTCTGCCACTGGCTGATATTAATCTTTTAAAATCAGAATTTCAATAACAAAGATTGTCTTAATAAAGGAACCCACATTTTATTATTAGAAGCTACTGTGGATGCTGTCAGTCAAATTACAGAATTACCATGCTATCTTTTTCACAGCATATTATGTGAGCTCTAGATGATGTATTCCCTTTGTAATCTTTCTACTTAAATTCAGTTAACAAGTGAAACCAAGTATATGTCTAAAGATTGTGGTTGAATGAATGAGGTTTAGTTCTTTACCTGAAAGTTCGTCATAATTCTCAAATGCCTCTCACTAAAAGATTTTGATTGTGATGGATGTTCTAGCCATTAGTTGCTATTTTTGCTATAATTTCTAGGCATAAGTTTGAAGTCAGGATTATCCATTTTAACTTTTTCCAGATCTATTTCCCCACCTTTTCAGATGTGGCAGGTGTCATTTAGTGAAGCAATATGACAGCATTTCAGAAACAAAGGACACAGATGAAGCTAGAGCAATCCACTCAGAGGAAGAAGCCAAATAGTCTATGGCAGAGTTGCGCAACCTTTCTGGCTTTGTAGACTGATGGGGCGGAAGGGGAACAAATGGTTCTGCCCGAGTGGGGTATGAGTGAGTATGCTCCATTTACACAAGCAGTGTGCACACACACTTGCCACTCATGCAAATGGAAAATGCTTTCCCGCTGCTCGCGCAAGTAGGGATGCATATGCGCCTGCACTCACAAGATTTTTCTGTGGCTCAGTTGCAAACAGCTCATGGCCCACTAGAGGGCCACAGTCCAGAGTTTGGGGATCCCTGGTGGGAAGGACAACCACCTCACACTATACCTATATATACTTCTTATTCTTGAATATTTCTTGAATCTCTTGCTGAACTTAATTATGGTTTCTAAATTTCTTCAATATGGATTAACAAGATGACTTTCCTGGATTTATACTGAATAGTTTAATTCCTGTTTACGGTTTAAACTTGATTCAGAAATTCCACATTTTTTAAATAGCTTTCCATTTTTCAAATGCTGCATTAATATTAATAGGTATAAATAATTTGGTCAGAATTATTTTACATTTACTCAAATCAATCTATAATTTGCTCATTGATCAACTTATATATTAACATCTCTTTGACAGGTTATCTATGAATAACATTTATAGCAATAGATATTAATGAATGGTTAATTACTTTTTGTCTAAACCCATTTCTTGTTCCTTGCACTTAGAAACAGCTCAGTTTGTTTTATATGTTTGGTTCATAAATTGTGATTGATGTTAACTACTAAATTTGTACCTACAGATTTACATACAAAGCAGAGCACAACTTATTATTTAGCTTCATCCACACAACATAACTGAACTATTCCATGTTCTGGATTTTTACAATATAATGAATAATAAATTGATCACAAGTGGCAAGTGGTGGCTCAGTTCCATGCACCTTTGGCATTTAGTCATGCCAGCCACATGACCAAGGAGACATCTTTGGACAGTGCTGGCTCTTCAGCTTTGAAACGGAGATGAGCACCGCCCCCTAGAGCCGGGAGCGACTAGCACACATGTGCAAGGGGAACCTTTACCTTTACCTTAAACTGATCAAACAATAAATTGCTGCTTAATAAAAACACTAGTCACCAAAGCCTAACCTTCATTAATTAAGTCTAGCATGCTCAAGAATTCATTTAATTTAGGAAAGACTTGTGAATTAATATATTTACCATGATATTTCAATAGCCTTCAGTAAGTTCTGATCTCCATTTGTTTTTTTTCCACATGGAATATTTTGGTAGTAATCACTTTATTCTTCTTTAAGATAATATTACTTTAGCAAAGTACTTCTTACAGAATCTCATTTATAGCAATTAAAAATTTTCTAGAGGCTTACCTTGTGCCTCTTACCTTTTACCGAAGAAACTTTGCCAGATTGTGTCTTGTATTTTATGGCTTGTGTCTAGTGACATTCTGACAAGTATCTACATATTAAGTGGGAAGCTCTCTATCCCTTTCACTCCCTTTAGTATGTTTGCAAATACAGGCTAGCAAAAAATAGCATTATATCTGGAATGCATGTATAGCAAGGAATCACGTATTTAGTGGACTCCAACCTTCCTCAGTCTAAAACTACATTTTTCAAACTTAGCAACTTGAAAATACATGGACATTAACTCCCAGAATTTCCCAACTAGTCAGGCTGACTAGGAAATTCTGGGAACTGATATCCACAAATTGATTTAGAAACAATGAATTAGAGACTACTGAGCGTCATTTAACTGACAAAGTAAATGCTTCCAGAATTGCAATGAATAAAATTGAATTTAATCATAGGTGATACAAGGAAATACCTGACCATATTCTATCTCCCAATTTGTCCTACTCATTTTTTATGAAATTGTACATTACCAATAACATCAGAAATTCAGATGTCAAGATTGCTTCAGAAATTATACTTTGCATTTCCTTGAGTTTCAGAGAGCGATACTATCACCGTTACACCAGAGCCAACATAAGGTTCACTTAAATTATTCATGCTCTGTGGCTCCACTTTTACATTTACATTTAATTATAATTACATTAATTTAATATAATTAATATGCATCATCTTGTGTATAGGTTTTGAGATACTCTAGAAACTATACTCAAGGTTCTGGCAGCAAGGTCTCAGTTTGTTACTTCTGCCTTAAAACCACAATATGTCAAATTATGTGGAAAATTACAATGGCATTCCCACGTTTTTATCTATCATAGCCGGAACAATAGTTATCCAAATCTCTTTAAGAAAGTCAGGTGTGTTCGTTGGTACTTGTGGTCCCACTACATCAGGAAATGATACAGGTAATCCTCAACTTAAGACCTCAATTGAGCTCAAAATTTCTGTTGCTAAGTGAAATCTTTGTTAATTGAGTTTTGCCCCATTTCACAACTTTTCTTGCCAGATTTGTTAATTGAATCACTGCAGTTTGTAAATTAGTAACCTGATTGTTAAGTGAATTTGGTTTCCCCGTTGACTTTGCTTGTCTGAAGCAAAGATCACATGACCACTTCAAACATTGCAACCATCAGAAATATGAGTCAGTTGCCAAGCATCTGGATTTTGATCACATGACTGTGGGTATGCTGTAATGGTCATAGTGTGAAAAACACTCATAAATCGCTTTTTTAGTGATGTAATTTTGGATAGTCACTAAATGAACTGTTGTAAGTCGAGGTCTGCATGTACCATGTGGGAGAAAGCAGCACTGGACATATCCATTAAACAGCTAATCTAATATTTTAAACCATCAGGATATAGATTTTTTTTTTCTTACTGTTCCTTAACATTACAGTGCTCCTTGCTAGACTTTAATTTTTGTCTAAATGGATAATTGAATATAAATATATTTAATAGGCACCGTTGACAGAGTATTCATAAAATACAGGGCTTTTATCAAACATCTATGCCACTGAGTTGTAATGAACTCACAGTGGCTAAAGAACATTATAAACAGTAAGAAAACCCTTAAAACATCAAATCCAAACAAAGCCCCAATGAATTACACACAATACCAATAAACTAGTTAAATAAAATCCAGGGCACAATCCTTCATCAAAGTCTATCAAAGATTGGTCTTCACTTTCTTCTGGAAGGCCATCACTCACGAAACAAACTATGTTCTAGAAAGAGGCTGTTGTAGACTATCAACATCATGATGGAAAAGCAGTTTTCCCAGCTTCAGGGAACATCATTACATAACATTGGAAGACCACAAGCAGCTTCTTTCAGGATAAACTCTTCAGACAGATCAATTGTAGTTAACATAGGCACCTGGAGGTACCTATGTGCCAAGTTAGGTATAGCTTTATAAATTAAAACCAGCACTTCAACTATAGGGTTGATAGAATATACAGTACCTAGTTGTTGCTGCTTGAAGAAATCCACATTAGGAGGAAGAAGCAGAAGGACAAAACAAAATGCTAGTGTGGTTATCTTGTCACCTTACATTGTACAAAGGCCTTCCACTTTTTCTACATCAGAAGCATCCAGAAATTCCTGAACAGCTATGCTCTATAGTGTATTGAACATTGGTGTATCCATCTCAAGCAGAGTCGGATTATTGGGAAGAAACTAGCTACTGCTCCTTTCAAACTGAACTGAACCAGTTAGATAGCACATCTAATAAAATTCAAACAGTAGTCAAGGATCATAGACATTTTTGAAACAAAGAGAACAACCAATTTAGACTTGATAATTTGCCATTATGGACCACATATTTCAACCACATGCTTTCATAAAAATATTCTATTGTCCTTTTTCTTAACATTTTGCAAAGGTCATTGCAACATCATTTTCCTTCTCGCATCTAGTTCTCCTTTGAACTTTAATAACGAACATAAAGTTCTACTTAGATTATCTCAGTGACCCTTAGACTTTATTATATTGGAAATCATAAACCACACCCCAAAAAACTATAAAAAGGATAGAATTACAGTTCATTCTTCTTGGAGAACACCATTTCATATTCCATAGCTAAACTATCCTTGGATTTAATCACCTAGTAGCAATGCCTGCCGATTACAATGGGACGTGGGAAATGATATTAAATGAAAACTTTGAAGGTTATATGGTTGCTTTAGGTAAGTATAAACTTAATTCAAATGATTAAGTTCTATATTTGCAATACAAGAAGGTACTTTTAACACAACTGCTTAAGCATGTATTAAAATGTATAACCAGAGATAATTCAAATATTTTTAAAGCAGTGTTTTACATCCCATGGAAGGATATGAATCCTTCAACTTACTTTATTTTAAACCATGACTAGCTCATATGCATGCAAAGTAACATAGATTAACATAAAATAATTCAAAACCTAAAATTACAACCTAAATTTTGTACATTGTTCAAAAGTTTTAACGCTGCCAATCAAGGCAACAGTAGTAAATTATTCTTACGTATTACAAAGCACCATGCATTATGTGACCATTTTTATGTATATCTCTTGCAAATACGAAAATGGCTTACAAAGCTGGGAACAGCTTCAAATTGAGTGATGAGAGATTTCTACTTATTTTTATGGACTGTAGACCTTATGAGACTATATTCAATATAATAATGGATACTTGCCTAACAGGACAGAACAGGAAGGTTGTGCCAAGAGAAGACTAGATATGCATTCACTCCTGTAATTTTCCCAGATGCAAGAATCTTGACTGCACAAATTGTGAAAGTATTTTTCCATGTTTCTCTGTGTTTCTCTATTTCTACTCAACAAATCCATTAAGAGTTGGGTGGCATACAAGTTTAATAAATTAAAATACATCCAAAACATGCAGAATCCTGGGAAATAATAGAAAGCCTCCTTTTCTCTACACATATTTGAACAACTTTTTGACAATAGCAGGAATCTGGCCCTGAAAGTATAACATTTCCCATCTATGCTTCAAGACAAGACAAATTACGGAGCATTGAAATGTTCAGTAAAACATATTTTACCAGTATTTAAGATTAGTGCAACTATGACTGCAATGCCCAGGACAGAAATGGGATAGTAATTCTCCCCCATTAACATACTTTTAAGAATATATGTTCAGAAGAGAGCTCTAACCCAGGTCTATCAGGTATAGTAGTCATAGGATTGTACAAGTTATACATTGACATCTGGATCTCAAATCTTACAATATTTTCAATATTATCAGTACAACAACTCAGCAGTTATTGCATTATGCCTTGTATTCTCAACAGATCTAATCTTAATTGAGTAATCTAGAGATTATGGTTGCCATATTTTAAAAATAAAAAATAAAATCGGTAGTATTGCTGCATGGTACAGTTGTTCTTATTCATTTCACTTTCTATCTAATAATGAATTGCATATATAAAGTCTGGTTTACTGTAATAGCATGTGCATACTAAGGGACATCAAACAAACAGACGAAAATTACTGTTAGCATTGAACAGATGGTTGGTATATTAACAAAACTAGTCAACTGTTAGGAGTTCCTAGACTAAATTTGAGCTCTAATTCTCCGGCCGTCAGTTCTAAAGAATGCTGAGTTTCAGATGTGCAACTCCTGCAGATAGTGCCAGCCATCATTTTGCAAAGATTCTCTTTTTATTATACATATCTATATCTGTTGCATATTCTTGCCTTTGAACAGTAAGTAGGCAATGATATATTGGTATTACACCCTCATTTTATTAATGACTTCTGGGACAGGTTTCTTCTTATATATAATTACATTAATTGCAATAGAATAAGTACACTAGTATAATGATCAATATCAATATGTTATCCTATTTATGTATGCCCTTTTTACTTTCACGAGAAAGTAAAAAAGAATATAACATAACTGTGAATCAGAATAAGAAATCTGGGGGAAAATAAATGAAATGAAATGAAAATCGAAATATTTACTTGCATAGGAAGGGATAATTTTTTGTTCATATTTTTCTAACAGAAGACAATACTAATAAATTCAATAAAAGATATTCATATTTTATAAGAATAATAATTATTATTTCACAGGGTAAAGTAAAGGATGGCAAAATAAGATATCTGTGTAAATCGATCAATCTCAATCTCTCTCCCCCCCCCTCTCTCCTTCCGTGTATCTATGTTCTTGTGTGTATATAAGTATATGCTTATTTATATTTAAGTTCCACTAAATTATTTCTTGGGTAGGATTGTGCTATGTCTGTCTTGAGAAAACTGGCTAGATATTTTAGCTGCAAAATATTATATATTTTGCAAAAGCATTCAATTTTATCTATCAAATATTCTAAGCTTTCACTGGCATCTGCAAGGAAGATCAAAATGAGCAAGATGCAGATGCATTCATGATTTAAGTTCCAACTCTTTAGTACCTCTCACACATGAACAAATGGTCTAGGGCTTACATCACAACACTGCATTTGCAGCTTTATGCTTTGCAATCTTATTCAATCAGTGGCAATCGCTAGAGGGGGAAATAGATAATAAATGACACAGCTCTCTATCTTTGAGCTTTTGGCTGACAGGGGTGAAATGCATCTTGAGTTCAAGGACGTGTTTACAACAATCTTGGTTGACTGCTATTCCCACTGATGAATTTGTTCAGATCATCACTAGCATCTGTTACTGAAATATGACAAGAAAGAAATCAGTGCAGTGTATTCTTTTTTGTATTTAATCTATGGTATGCCATTGCTCTCTAAATATCCTATTCTGATCCTGATAGCAATAGCATTTAGACTTACATACTGCTTCACAGTGCTTTAAAGCCCTCTCTAAGTGGTTTACAGAGTCAGCATATTGTCCTCATTCTGAGTCCTCATTTTACCAACCTCAAAAGGATGGAAGGCTGAGTCAACTTGAACTGGTGAGACTCAAACTTCAACTGCTGGCAGCTGGCAATCAGCAAAAGTAGCCTGCAGTACTGTATTCTAACCCCACAGCTCATGATCAAAATAAAGTTATAACAAAAGCTGTTATGTAATGGAAGGCAATGATGGTTAAGCTACAAAACTACTAATGCTTTCTATCCATTTCTTCAGAGCAATATCTGACCATAATAAGATGAGACAGGGTTATTGTGGGGAAATAGGAGAAGGAGGGGGTGTTGGATATATTCATCACCTTGAATTATTTGTAAAAACAATAAACATTGGATACAAACAAACAAACAAACAAATAAATATAATGTGTGTTTCAATCTTCTGTTATCTAGATGGAGATTGGTTCCTTTCCAAGCTATGATGGCTCTTTCAACCCAAATGCTTGTAACATTCAAATACAAAGTAGATTAAGGTAGAAAAATACCTATGTAATGGTGTTCTCCAAGCACAAGGACACTGAAGCTCTCCCATCTGCTTTTAAAGTCTGAGTTTCAGTCGTTTAGTTGCCTGCTAAACAATAATAAAACCTAACTGCCTTTCACTGAGCATGTGTGAATTAACCATGTGCTTTATTATTCAGTACATGTGTGAACTGCTTATAAATATACCTAAACCCTTATTGTATTGTAGTTAAACTTTAGAATTTGCCACAATGAAATTTAATAGCTGACTGGCTTGGAAAAAAAGGGTTGGACTAATTCAAGGAAGTGATAAGGATCAATGGATATTACTTACTGTTTCTCAGACAACAAGATGCTTCAGTTGCAGATAGAATTCTTTGAACTGGTGCTGTCCCTGATGCTCCTTTTCAACCAATCTTCTCCATCATGTTACTTCCTTTTTGTTACAGCACCACTCCAGAAACATAGCTAAATATCTTTTAGCTGAGGGGTATTTAAGAAATTGTATTTGCCTTGTTTGACATCGGAAAGCTTTCATGCAATAGGTTCTGGTGTGAAAAATTGACCATAAGACTCAGTGTACTAGCCAGGGGAGAACAATAATAGTTAGAGAACTTAAATGGTAATGGCACAAGGAATTATCTGATTGACAGAGAAAGAACTTTGCATTCAGAATCCTATTTGATAATTGCAGCTTCTAATCTTATCACATCAGCACATTATTAACATTTTTACAAGTCTATAAAAGTAGCCTTAGATAATAAGATAGTATTCTAGTGGAAAATATGCATAAATGTATGAATGTGTAAGTAAATATCATCTTTTAGAACACAGTCTTGTATGTGTTTTCCTAGAAAATCAGTCCCACTGTTTTAATTGGGAAATACTTCCAGATCCTTATGTGGAGGCCTGCTATTCTTGAAATAAATTCCTACTTAAAAATGGGTGGATATGGCAATTTAACAAGGGTTAAATTTTTTCTGAAGCTTAGACCACTTCAAACTAACTTATTAAAAATCAGTTCATAGTATACAAGAGATGCGAACTCTCCTTAAAAAGCCAAAAAGTCTTATTAGGCCTCTGAATAACCTCACAAATTTATGTTTTTACATTTAGAAACTAAATTTAATCAGGCACCTTGTTAAAATGCATATCTCTTCTTCCATCTGCAGACATCGATTTTGCTACCCGTAAGATTGCAAACCATCTAAAACAAACAAAAGAAATTATTCAAGATGGAGACAATTTCAAGACAAAGACACTGAGCACTTTCAGAAACTATGAATTGAATTATACCATAGGAGTGGAATTTGAAGAGCACACCAAGGGGCTTGACAGTCGAGTTGTGAAGGTAGAAAACCTATTATTTGTTTCCCATTTACACAGCAGTCAATATAAGCCCCTGACATTCAAGTAAACAGGTTGAAAGCAAATTAAAATGTTAAAGAAATGCTTATTTATAAAGAAGTTTAAATTTGCATTTCTGAAACTACACGCTTTGCTAGTGCAACTATTTGTTCTATATGCAAATCGTGACAATTTCTCAGGCAGATGACAGCAAGGTAAAATTACTTTTCATTTGCTTTCAACTCTTCATGGTTCCAGACTGCTATATTTTCCTGGTTGACAGCCATGCTTCATAGTTTGGCACAGAGAAAAGCACATTCCTGTTAGCCACAGAGGTCACTGCTATTTATTCTTCTAGGCTGCAGCACACAAAACGTTTTACTTGTGGTAAGCAAAATTAGATTAGAACCTATTGTTTATGCAAAGTCCCTTACTCAAGTCCATCTTGCTGTTATGGTGCAAGATGGTCCTTCCTCAGTACTCTGCAAACAAATGCCGTCCAGACTGGAAACTGAACTGTCATGTCTGGAGAAGATCAAGAAACAGGAAAACCTTTAATGTATATTACAAGGGCAATCTAGTCTTTCCTGCTGTCTTCCAATCAACAGCCATGGGATGCTGGCTGCTGCTTGGACTGTTGATGAGTTTCATAGAACATATTGGACAGATGCCAGAAAATGTTTGTTTTATTGTTTCCACCCTGGATTAAGACAGAATGAAATTGGGGACTAAATTTCACTAATACCAGTTTCATAATGTGTAACTCTTTGCACCTGATTGTAATAGTGTGTCAGAGTGACCCAATGTAAATTGTGTCTTATGTGCCTCTATATCAGACTTCCAGAACAGAGCAGCAAACATTACAATCACCTAATTATTTTTTCCAAGGAGAATGGAGAGATTTGCTACTTATAGCCAACATCTTCCTTATCATCCGTGACCTTTCTGTGCCCTGACATCACAGCATGCTCCTTATAACAAAGCCATCCTTTACCAGTCCTATTCAGGAGCACAAAACTGCCGCTTTGCTGAACTTTCAGCAACCTCAATTTTCTCTTTCTATCTCAGTCCTGTTATGTGACTACAGGAAGAAAAAGCACCTCATTTCTTTTATAATTCTCTCTGATTTCTTATCAGGGTGATTTCTGTCCAGCATTCCTATACCAACACATTGCTACTTTCCCCCCCCCCCCCCCCACCAGAAGCAGGGATTAATTATTTTTAAGGAAGTCATTCTGTATCTTTCTGAGAATCAGTTTGATCTAGTGGTTAAGGGACCAGGCTAGAAATCAGCAGAATGTGAGTTCTAGTCTCACCTTGGGCATGAAAGCCAGTTGAGTGACTTCGGGACAGTCACTCTCTCTGAGCCCACAACATCGATCTTGGACAACAACCCACTCAATTAGTTCCCGTCACAACCAATGAATTAACATTTGGTTCATAGTAAAAAAAAGTAGACCCCCATACATTTGGGAAAAATGTTAAGAAGGAAAAAATTGTACTTTCTACTTCAGTGTAGAGGGTAGCATGACCTATAGCCTTATGCTATCTTTGCATTAACTTTAAAATTTTCAGCAATTTTTTTTACAATTTGCATTCAGATATTAAGATTCAGTTGATAATTCTTTTTTTGAAAAGGTGATTACCAAGAACAATATTTTCTTTTCAAAAAAAGAATTATTAAAAAAAAAGAGATTTTTACAGGATTTTTCTCCTAACTCCTTCTCTCCTTCCTGGCATCATCTACTTTTTTGAGGATAGTCTTCCACTTGAAAAAAGAAAGGTTACTCCTCAAGCTGAAAACCCTATCCAAGTTTGCTATATTTAAAAAGCTCTATACCTAGCCCAATTCAGGTCTACGGATTTTTCAAAAATAGTAAGAAAAAGGTGAAAAGAGACTCTGAAAATATCCACCAACATTAATAAAATACCAGATTTGATGAGCAGCAACAGAATAAAAATGTTTTGGGTTTTTAAAAAACTTTTTCTGCCCCTTTGCATAATGTTATTAGTACACTGAAATTCCCCTTGCAATTTCTCAAAAACTTTCTTGCTGCTTTATTTGCAACCTTATAAAACAACTGGAAGATTTAATCATCAGTTGGAATGTCACTTTTATATAAAATAATTAAATTTATTCTGCTGTGAACACCACCCTAATTTCTTACTGAAATAGAAATATGTGTGTGGATGTTGCATTAGTTTAAATAAAGCATGATTTTTCTATTGGAGATTAGTTACTCTGCTCTTCAAGCAGAACCAAATTTCATATTGGCTTCCCTTTCTAGAGAACACTTCCATCATACATAAATTTGTGAAATTTGTTTCTATGGTTATTTAATGAATCAGGATGAAGAACTGGGAACATGAAACATAAATGACAATCTTGGTTTGCAACCAGAATTTGAAATTTTGCAGGGGGGATGGCTGTATTTCCCTCCACCCTTTTTTCTTTTTCACCTGACACGTTCACAAAACATGTATATAGTTCCAGCTTTGAATATTTCAAATTTCTACAATATTGCTTAATACTGTCTTTTAATCCTTGAAGACAACAGTGACCTGGGATGGTGACAAACTTGTCTGTGTCCAGAAAGGTGAAAAAAACAATAGAGGCTGGAAACATTGGATTGAAGGAGACAAACTGCATCTAGTAAGAACCAAATATGTTCATTTTGTATAATTAAAAACTGTTCCACATCAACTCATTTCTATAAGGATTTTTAAAGGATCAAGTATATCTATATGTACATTATATGTACATGTACCTGTACCTGTATATGTGTATGTATATGTGTTCATGCTGTCTTGTTCTCTAAACTGCTTGGATGTTCATTTTGGACTCTCCAATTTTATCACCACACATCAGATAAAGTATGAATTAGCAGCATGTGAAGTTGCAAACCTAAGGCTCAGATCTTTGCTTATAAGGTGACCTTGTCCAGACACTATTTCCATATGAATTCCCTAATTATGACACACTCCTGCTAACAAATGCTTTCAAGAAAGAGTCTATGCAGGTACAATTGCATCATGTATATCAGTTTTCCCTTTACAGATATCACAAGAATGGGAATAGGATAGATATTTAGATTGCTTGTCTGGAGAGGATGACGGATAACAGGGTTACTGATTCAGCCCCAAACTGCATCTGTTATAAAGATGAAATGTGACAACCTAATATATATTTATTTATGGTTATATTTGATTTCTAAATTTGATATATAAGTTTATTTTATTTAGATATAAAATTTAGAAATCACCCACCTCCCTCACAGGTGCTACCTGGAATGGGAATATTTTATAAATAACTTGTTTACATGGGTATGTCTTTATTTAATAGATTTATTAACTGCTTTTCAAGAAAATGCAAGCTATGTTTTACTTCCAGGAAGAGCTAAATGGCTAATAGAATTCCTAACAGAACCAGGAAAAGAAATACTCTAGTAAATAGAACTAAAAACTCAGATTATTTTGAAAGTTGTGGTCCTTTCCATAAATATTAAGTTGATTCCATCATTGGGATACTGCAGCGGCTTATCCTGGGTTTCCCCTTTGTTTCCTGAACCAGGATCACATGGGAGAAAGCAGTCTTTTATTGCCTTATAAGTCAGGGAATCACTACCTTAAAATGTGCCCCCAAAATAACTACATGTAAAATAATTAAGGCTAGAGTAAAATAGCCTGATAAACATTCACTGGCCTACTTTGAATTTCAAGGAATCTTTCCTTAACCAGGATTAAAGTGTGAGACTCCTTTTCATGTTAAGAAGAAATAAAATTGGTTCTGTTTGGAGGAATAGTGGGAGATGAACTATAAACATATAAAAGCACTTTTATTTAACCTGTCAGTTTTACTGTGAGATAGCCTACAGATTATGTCAATCATAAAAAAACAGCACTGAAGACAGTGGGGCCATTATAGTGAGTAACAAATTCCATTTATTTAATGTGGGAATTCAATCTCACAACACCCTTTCAAGTGTACCTATGGATTTTTAATGACACTTCTTTTATGTTGAAAAGTCTCTTTAGATAAGTAGACCTTTTTAAGACAGGCAAATATGAGGCAGAATGAGAGTTGAGATTCTCCAATCTTTTCCACAATCAGAAATGATACAAAAGTGTGTACACCCACCACCTAACAAACCACACTATCATTTCCTTATACCGTCTCAGCTCCATTAGTCTGCAAATCAGCAGACTTTGTACTTATTTGAACACTTAGAAATTAATGTTTGATGGTCTTGTTTCCATTTTCATTTAATAGCCCACAAGCAATTCCAGGTAGTAATTAAAATTAGGAAAACGCTGACCAAAACACTACCATTATTTATCGAGGAAAGTATACAGTATAGGATATTCTAGCAATGAAATCTGCTGCAACTGATTAGAACAATCAGTTGTCTCAAGCCGGCTGGCATTTATTCACGGGCACAATCTCAATGTTCCATACTGAGGTTATGAAATTGCAATAGTTGCACATTTTTGTTAATTAAAAACAAATAGCTCAAACAAAGTGCTATGGAAAAAAGATAGAAATGTGAAGTGGAATCGACTTTTTTGTCACAATATAATTTTACGGTAATTGACAGTGATAATTATTTTCAACTTCATTGTAAGCTATGGGGAATATGACTTAAAACGAGAACCCTTTTCCGTAGGCTGTACAGAAAATGGAAAGATTGAAAAAATGGACTAGAACAATCATCAGGCATACAACATTTTATCTTTAAAACATAATTTAGTGCTGTTGAAGAAAAGCTGAATTCATAACCATAGAAAACTTGAATGATGTAAATAAAATTAAGCGGTCACCAAAGTATGAGAAACAATAAATTAGAGATTAAATAATAAAATGTTCAAGTGAACAATCTCAAAAGTGAGGACTGGTGCAAGCCCCTTTCCACAAAGTTGCATTTCTGCTAACTTAGATTTCTTCCAGCATCTTTCTGTTTCCTGTCTACCAGGGCAATGGAGGGAGCATAAAATATGACTCTCCAGCCACCACTTTGCAAACCCTCTTGTCCTTTTGTTTCATGGCAAAGGGGAAGTAAAGCCCACTAGGTGGGAAGCAGAAAAGGGATCAGGATGACTAATATAGAACCTATGGTGTCTTGATTTTACTGAAGAAATAAAGACGTTGTTGCCAATAAAGTTTGGCATCTCTTAAGCAGAATTCTTGAAAGAAGGACTTCTAGCGAACCCAAAGCAAACCCTAAGTTAGCTATCAGAGCATGGCTGCAGAAATCCAGATGATGACTAAGTACCTCAAATAGCTATAGGAAACTAAGCTTTACTTCCAACAAGTTGCTGTCCAATTTTTGCACCCTACATTCGATAACTATTCATTTTGTCCACTGATATCAAGTTTGCTTAGTGAGTTAGAAATTTTAAGTAATCATGTTTAAACGTTGTCAATACTCAAGTCCAAACCACTTTTCTAACTAGGTAAAGAAATTGTTTTCAGAAGAACACACCTCTAAATAAGTATGGCTAATATTGCAATTTAATGATTAATGTTTAGCATTCTTAGCCATAATTCATTTTTCATTAGATGCAAACATTGGCTTGCAAAATTTACATAGCAATTTTAAAAATTGCTATGTAAAAAAGATATCCACAGACAGGTCTTTCATGATAAATTACATTCAAAACTTGTCAGTAATGCTACTGAGCCACTTTGTAACACTTGCTATAGCATTCCAAGTTAAGATTCGCTTTCTACAGACACACAGATGCTTTTGGTCAAATACTATTGTACTTACCTTGTTACCTTTATAGCCTTGCCTTTTCTCCTTTTGCAATTTCTTGTTGCTCCAGTAGTTTTAATACACTACAGAATGTGGGCTAATAATAGACTATGAAATGTCCTACTGTTACAGAGCAATTTTCATACATTTTTCATTTTTATCCTTTTAGAAACTCAACTGAAGTGTCCAAATCTAATTACTGCAACCTGCAGTGCTTACTGGCTGATTGGTTACATAAAATACATTGTTCTTTTCCATTTAATAGCCCAGCCTCACTGTTAATGTGGTGGCTATCTTTGAGCTTAAGGGAGGGCCTGGGGGTACAATAAGGGCAATGAAAAAGTTGTGCTTACTGATGGTTTTTCTGTTGTAGGAATTGACTTGTGGAGACCAGGTGTGCCACCAAGTCTTCAAGAAGAAAAAATAGACTGATGAAGCTGATACAGCTGCCACATTTATGTTGATGATTTTTTCTCTTTTAAGATAACTATAGAAATAAAAGTTTGATTTTCATTAGTGATCCATTGTTCTGTTTGATTAGCAAATAATGTCTAAAAATAATGCCACGCACCTGCACACTTTAGAAAGGATCTTTGCCTTCCAAATAGGAATTAAGCAAAAGTTTTGTTCTATTTCCCCAATCTTAGCAGGTCTGTTTTCTAGTAACAGATATATCCTGGTGCAATGAGGCAAGTCTTTTTAAAAAAGTTTGTGCTGACACTAGTATCTCTGTATATTTTTTGCCTTCTTAATACATTTGGGTGGTATAAATACATTTGACTTGAAAAAATAAAAAAAATAGATATCACTGATTGGGTTCACATACTGAGCAGGGGTGGGTTCTGGCAGTCATTACTGTCGGTTTGCTCATAAGCCACTGCAAGCACTCTTGATGCGAGCTACATGCGCATGCACAGTGCAATAAAAATTGTTCCATAAATGTGCAAAAGCAAAAAGCAAGATGGCAGCACCATAGGCTCCGCCTGGAGAATCCTGGAGAATCCATTCGGGGACATGGCAGACCTGGGTTGCTGCCGGTTCCAGCGACCCAGGCCCCCAAACCACTACTGGTTTGGCTGAACTGGTAGGAACCCACCACTGGTACTGAGTGTAAGTGAATTGCCTGGTATCAGTTTAGTAAAATATTCTAGTTAATGGTACTATATCCACATCGAGAGAAGTAAGCAGGGCTCTTTCTTAGGCCCAGTACTCTTCAATATCTTCATAAATGACTTAGATGAGGGAATAGAATAGGGGGACTCCTCAAATTTGCTGACGACAGTAACCTGGCAGGAATAGCCAACATCCCAGAAGACAAGTTCAGGATCCAAAAAGATCTTGACGAACTTGAAGAATGGGATCTATCCAACAAAATGAATGTTAATATGGATAAAAGCAAAGTTTTACATTCAGGCAGGAAAAATCAAAGGTATAAGTACAGATCAGGCGAGACTTAGGTCAAAAACAGTAACTGTGAGAGGAACCTTGGAGCAGGTAGAGTCAGAGGCACAGGGGGAAGGCATGTGATCTGGACATGCTGCGCAGCTGCGTAGCTCACCGGAAACTCACAGGAGGCTTGCGCAGTGGCACCACCAGCAGGAGAGGCAGAAGCACAGGGGGAAGGCAAGAGAGCTATTCTATCCTATTCTATTTTAAAAACAAACTATATTTACAAATTCTGCTTTAGTGTAACATGAGTAACCTAGCCTCTCTGTGCCACTAAATCTGGGCCACTAAAATACTTTCCTTGTCACAAAATGATTCTCTAGAAAGATAAGGAACATCAAAAATGGGATCACTAATTTAAATGATTTTCTCAGAAAGGGTTAACTCATGCCGTTCAAGGTTCTTGACATACCACAAAGCTTACCCTTAAATTAAGCAAGCTTCAATTACTTTGAAATATCAGTTGAGAATATAACTAAAAGTCATTTCATATATTTTAAATTTGTACATATGTTTATGTATAAATATGCAATTTATAAATCTGGATAGTTAATCTTCAAATGTAGAACATATGGTTATATTAATTAGAGAGATAAAAATTGCTAATTCATTGCACTAAATGATTATTTGTTATGATTCATTGATTAATTTAAACAGTCTGGATTCATAGAATATGCTGAATCATAAACAGTGATTTATAAATTAGAATAATTGGGTTTACATTATTCAAAGCAAAACTAACACAACCCCATTATGGTTTAAAATAATGTGCTAACTCAGCCAATGTGTGCTTGCCTTCATAACAAAATAAAACTAAAATTTGTCTAGGAACTGCATGTGACATACAGCAGAACATGCTGCATATTTCTGCAAAGGTGAATATTTTTTACTTAGAAGACTAATTTTTGGATTTTCTTAAACCGCCTACATCACATACTGTGTATGCACATTCTGTTAAGTCTTTTTTTCTTGGTAATTCTGTATCAATGGACCTTAATCTTTCTGTTGTACGTCATATTTCTGTAGATATTGTGTCAATTCGTGTAACCTTCTGATACAGCAATGCCCAGAGTGCTGATCCAACTTCATCTTCTATATTAGACATTATTATAAACAGAGAGAACCTATGTTATTTTGAATGTTGACTTCTCTGTTGTACAGAATTTCAATACATTCCTTCCATCTTTACCCGATCTTCTGCTATCTGTTCATTGTCAGCTTCAGCACATCTAGTCAAAATTGGAACCTCCTTCTAAGTTCATCTATATATTTTTTAACAACAATCAATTTCAATGGACCTGATTCCAAATAACTCACAGAATAAAGGAAAACTTTTTCCTGTTTATCCTATCTGTTTCCATTCTCAGTGTCTTTACTGATTACATTATAATGTTTATTTTCTCTTGAAATTCTTTAAGTGCCTTCCTAAAGTCTTGGGGGGGACGGGGGACGGTTGGCTTTTCTTGACAATTTCCACTCTTTTCTGCTATACAATTTACTTTCTTCTGATTTTTGATCTCCGGTAGTTTCTTTTCACACTCATATTTAATAATTTATTTAATTTCATTCTATACTTCCTTGTGTTAGCCATCCAGTTTTGGTCGCCATGATGTAAAAAAGATGTTGAGACTCTAGAAATGTGCACAGAAGAACAACTAAGATGACTAAGGGATTGGGGGCTAAAACATAAGAACGGTTGCAGGATTTGGCTATGTCTAGTTTACTGAAAAGAAGGACTAGGACAGTGTTGGCAAACCTTTTCAGCACCAAGTGCCGAAATGGGAGGGAGATGCCAGAAACCGGAAGAGCAGCTCCCAGACGTGCACATGTGGGAGCATCGAAAACCATAAGAACAGTTTCCTGCTTCTGGTTTCCGGGTACACATGCATGCTGGTCAACTAGTCTTCCAGTTTCTGGTGCACATGCACATGCGAACATCAGTATGCACACTGGAAACTGGAAGTTCAGCTTCCCGGCGCACATATGCACATTGGGGAACTGCTCTTCCAGTTTCCGGTGCTCCCGTACACGTGAAGATCATCTGGCTAGTGTGCACGTGCATGCCGGAACCCAGAAGAACTGTTATGCCCAGAGAGATGGGTCTTCATGCCACTTCTGGCATACATGCCATAGGTTCACCATTACGGGACTAGGGGTGACATAATAGCAGTGTTCCAATATCTAAGGGGTTACTGCAAAGAAGAGGGGGTCAAGCTATTCTCCAAAGAGCTTGAAGGTAGGACAAGAAGCAATGGATGGACACTAATCAAGGAGAGAACCAACCTAGAACTAAGGAGAAATTTCTTGACAGCTAGAACAAATAATCAGTGGAAGGACTTGCCTTCAGAAGTTGGATCAGGTTTTTAAGAAAAGATGGAACAACCATTTGTCTGAAATGGTATAGGGTTTCTGCTATCCTGTTTTTCTTCACCAATGTTTGGATCATAAACTTCAATAATCATATTAAAAGGTTGTTTGCACACTTCATGATAGTAGTAACACTTATACTTACATATCGCTCCACAGTGCTTTACATATCTGAGTGGTTTACAGAGTCAACATATTTCCCCCAACAATCTGGGTCCTCATTTTATTGACCATGGAAGAATGGAAGACTGAGTCAACCTTGATCCAGTCAGGATCAAACTGCTGAGAGTCAGTAGAATTAGCCTGCAATACTTCATTCTAACCTCTGCACCATCACAGCTGATAAAATTGGTATTTGGTGGTATACTGTACTGACCTAACTATTCTAACTACGAAGCAACACCATTGCTTTTCATGTCTTGAGCTGTAAAAATAGTATGGTCTTCTGAACGAAAGTATCAATTCCAGGCCATTTCAATTTTCTTATGTCTAATATGTTAATTCATAGTCAATTAGACATAGTCAATTAGACAAAGATGTAGACAATTTATCTTTTTCTGGCTTTCCCATATTGAATCTTCTCACATTCTGTCTTCAGTTTTTCTGTTTCAGTTTTGGATTTTTTTTTTCCTTTATGAATCCAACAACTAGATGTCTGGAAACCCATAATTTATCTGCGTCAAAAATATCCTTAGTTTTATGAAATATATTCAGCTCTCTCAGTAGCATGGTGAGTGCCTTCTTACCTGAGGGGGCCATCATCTGGCACTGTATTATCACTTTCTTTTGTAGGCATTTGCTTATTTTAGTCAGGCAGATAAAATGATCTTCACACCTTAAGTGGCCCTGCTGGAATATATTCTCTTGGCATACTCTCCTGGCATTCATTTCTCATCCCTTCCAAGAATGCTTCCATTTCCATTACGAGGCAGCAAAACAAAACTTGGAAGATGGTACAGGCCTTATTGGATGCTTTTAACAGCCAACTCTGAGCAGCATATTGCAAAATGGTCTTTCCCTGAGCTAAATAATACACAACCTGAGAGAAACTGCAGATTTACTTGATCAAGTAGTTTAATCCATTGCTTACTGAGGACTGAAAGTTTTTTAAAAAAACCATTAGCAAATAGTAACACTTTTATATTGGTTGCCATCACTTATCCTAGTCATGTAAGCAAGAATTCATGTTTACCTAGTTACATATTCATATTGCTTGGAACCAGATTTAATGAGTTCTGAGTACTTTAGGCTAGCTGCAGGTGGTAAATTGGAAACTCCATAGTGAGTTGAAAAGTCCACTTGAACCAGTACTATTCATTCAGTAAAAGTAAGACTTGTTTTAATGGTCAAGGGAATGTTTTACACAAAAAAGGAAAACTAAACTGAGAAGACTATTGCTTCTAGTCTTTTCTTACATTATTGTAAATAATTTCACATATTGTAGGAAATCAAAATTATTATACTTGGATAAGCATGGGTGTTATTGAAAATACAGGATGAAGCATAACATACGATAAATAATATTCTGAAAGTTACCTATACTAATCTTTACATATTCCTGACCATGATTGTCTCTCTAGAACATGGGTGTCAAACTCACATCATTTCATCACGTGACATATCACAACTTTTCCCCCTTCGCTAAACCGTGTGTGTGTGTGTGTATGTGTGTGTGTGTTTAGTGCATGATGCATTCGGGCTGCAGGC